AAATCTATCGATTCCTAAATTGCCCAATTTCAAAGCTAACTTCAAGGTCCACCTAGAAGTCACCGCCCTTTTCATCGTCATCCATCAACTCTCTTTTTCCTCCAACTTTATTAATTACATACTTTTTTTCATGTTGGTGGTCCGCTTCTTCCTCTTCTTTTTTCTCTTTTTTTTTCTTCCAATTTTCCATTTCAAGGCAATATATCCAGGCACATCAATTCAATTTGTCAATTGTATGTTCTCTGCGTCTTTTTTGTCTTTCTATTTAACTCAACCTACTCTCTTCTTCTAATTTCGGAACCCACTCTCTTCATTTTTCATGCCGCGGCTTCTTCTTCTTCGGAATCGACCTCCCCTTTCCTTTTTTTTCCGTCTTTTTGGTGGATCACATCCGTACGCAATGCGAAACTGACTACTACTAGCCCCGCCCACTAATTTTCCCCACTAATTACGATAAAACACGCTAAACAACATTTTAGAAATTGGGAGGAGGAGATGGAAGAGTATATGCAAATGTATGTGGATATGGATGTAAACGAAACGCAGAAGGGGTTTATAAAATTCGGTGGTGTTGCGTCTTCTTCATTTTCATCTTCTTTTCATCCTCCTTTTTTTTCAAAATGTTTGTAAGGAAATTACGAGAAAAAAAGAAGAAGGAAACCGATAAAAATTTCATGGTGTGTCCAGCAGCCATTCTGAATGTGTTTATGTATTTTTTCGCCATTTCCTGTCACCATCTCAGCCTGATTTTGAAGGATTCGCTGGTTGATCTTTTGGTTATTTTTTTTCAAATTTCTGATGTTTAATTTAATTCTGGAACTTTAGATAATTGAATAAACGCGTGGTACAACATACCGTAAAACCTGTAATAGAAGAGCCTCCAACTTTTAGAGCCAATTTTTCCCCGTCCCTGTCAAAGATACAAAAAAGGTGTCAACTGATAAACTATTTCATAATGTTAGAAATGTTTTGTCAGTTGACACATTTTTGATATCTTGGATAGGAGGCAAGAAAAATCAGTTCAAACATGACAGTATGGGAGCCTTTCTATTACAGGTTTTACGTTAGGCGTCTCAATTAAGGACAGTAACCATCTGATAGTGAGTCAGATGAATTAGAACTTCATAGCTTTGAGTGATTCAAAATCGGAGTCCACAGTATTTCTCAACCCCCATTCCATGACAGAAACTCATTCGTCAAAATATTCTTAAATAGAAAATTCGTTCCTTTTCTCATTGTCTCCTAGCTTCTAATTCTTTTTCTCTCCTCCATCTAATCCATGTATCAGAATCCCTTCCATGTCAAACAAAAAATGCAAAAACCCAAGAAGAAACCAAAGGAATGTTAGCTCCACGATCCTTTCTCTCTCTCTCTCTTTCTAAACTTTGGGCATCTTGACAAATGGTTTTCCGTCTTCGTTTCCCTTTGCTCCCAGAGACCTCGACTCCCTTGTGCCGCCACCAACACTACCACATTTTTCGTCAATCATCTCCCCGTTTTTCTGTGTGGCGCATTCGACTGACCCGGATTTTTTCTTTTGAAACTGAGGAGCAAGTGTTGAAAATATCAAGATACACACCTGCTTGATAATTAATTGGTCGTTCGCTCACTTTCTGACTTAAATTTCTCTTTTCTTTATACTTCTCTTTTACAGCTCGAGGATCAAAACGAACGACTTCGAGCTCAAAACTTGCGGTGTACTACACAACTACAAATGCTCCGAAGTTTTACGGAAAAATCAAGAAAGATCAAAGCAGAAATGGAGATGAGCAGAAGCATTACTGTAAGTTCTTCAAAAAGTTAACATTTTCTTCACTTTCATATGTTCAGGGCACACTGCCAGTGTTACGAGATGAGAACAGAACATCTGATGACAGCGGACTGACTTCTGACGACACGGATCGAAAACAGATGAGCGTCAGCATATCAGAATGTACTCCGAGAGTTCAGAGAAAAGCTAGTAAGTTTTCATTCAGAATATACTTTTCACACTTCGTTTTTTTTTCAGCTCGAACAATGTTGAAAAACACGTCTCAAGGGTCTTCTACATCAGAATCTTCGCCTTGTGAAGACGAGGCAAAACCGATGCCACTGCCGAGAAGGATTCACCAGTCAATGGTATTTTTTTTAAATTTCGATTGCAGATCTTAAAATATCAACATTTTCAGACCGAAAGAGATAGTTTGAACTCGTATGCAGAAGATTACGAGTACGATATCGAAGAGTCTTCATTTGAAAGAATCGAAGAACGAGTGAAGAATGAAAACGAGAAATATGCTGATTATGTGAATCTTCATGAATTCGTGGCCATAAAAGACGATAAAGTTGTCTACTCGGAAATCGTGAAGCATCGATCTGTGGAGAAAGAAGTCCTGCCAACTCTTCCATCTCATCAACCAAGACATTGGGAAACACGACTAATCCAAGCAGCTGAAAAATGTTTGTCCGTGATAGACGGAGCAGATTCCGAAGGAACTTCTACTGGCCCATCTGTGTCACCATATCATATTTCTGATGTATCCAGAATCTCATCAAACAACAGAACGGAATCTCCTGGATCCAGAAAATCATCGAAACTATCAAGAAACTCCTCACCCAGAGTGCCATCACATCATTCTTATGAAGATGGGGCTGCCTATGCAATCAGGGATTTGTGTTTGGGAAGTGACTACTATACACCACCAGATGCCTCTTCGAGATATTCTTCTGGAACTCCGAATTCTAGAACTTCTCTTATACCATCTCGAGAGACAATGGAGAAGGCTGGATATTGGACACATCTTACGGATAGCAGAATAAAATCATTGAAAAGAAGATATGTAGTGTTGCGGAATGGGTATATCTGTTTCTATCGGGTAATTTTAAGAATTTGAGACGAGAAAGTTAATTTTTGTAATTTCAGAAGCATGGTAACAGAGATGAAGAACCAGTTAATAAAATAAACATCTCGGATATTCGATCAGTTTCAAAAATTGAACAACAAGGAGCCGCTTATGCATTTCAACTGATTACAGCATCTGATAAAATGAACTTCATGACTGAAAGTGAGAAGACAACACACGACTGGGTCACAATTTTATCTGCTGCTATAAAAGGTTATTTTTAAATTTTACAGAAATCCGAGAATTATATATTTTCAGCAACGACACTACGAGAAATGGCTAGTCGTGTAACTCCGATCGATGCTTCTATCAGTGGATGGATGACACGTGTCAAATGCGGTCTCTCGAAGAAAGTGTTTGCTGCATTGGTGAACCAGAAGCTGATGTTCTTCAAAAATTCGAACGATTTGGTCCCCAATGGATTTCTATGCTTACAAGGATCACAAATCAGTGAGAAACAGAACGGAACGGAAGAGTATTCTGGAAGTAGTGATGAGCAATTGGAGACAACCAAAGAGCATCCAAATCAGAGAAAAAACAACGACAGTTTATGTGTACAAATCGCTCAAGAGGATCCTGTTTATTTGATTTTGAGAACGTCGGAAGAAAAGGAAAAATGGTTGTACTTTTTAAAAGCTGCTAGTGGAACTGCTGCTCTTTGTGGTACTCCTTTCGAGATTCTTGTCCAAAGAATGATGGCTGAAAATGTTGCAAATGGTGAGTGAAATTTTGAAATGCAGAGATAATTTTCAAAAAAGGATATGCAGATTCTCCACTCTGGAAAGATTTGTTATTCACATCTGGAGAAGAAATTCCAAAAGACACAATGACTTCCGTCGATCCGAGTGAGCGAAAAAAGACATTGGAAATCGCAAAAGCATGTCAATTGTTCGTATCGGTTCTGATGCGTCCTCAGGCGACTCAATATCATATAGACCTGGCACAAAATATTCTTTCAACTGCAGTTCAACAAGAATATTTGAGAAATGAAGTATATTCTCAACTGATCAAAATGACTAGTGGATCTATGCCATTTGGACTACAAGGATGGAAACTTCTAGCTCTAACAATCCCGTTATTCCTTCCAAAACAGTATTCTTTACTATGGCTTCTGAAACGTCATATTTCTCGATGGGTCGATTTACCGTAAGTCATTATATCCGGGACTACTTTCTTAAAACTATCTGACTCTCAGAAACGAATCTGACGAAACTCGAATGGCAATATTTTGTGAAAGTGCATTGGATAGATGTCTACGTGTCGGAGGAAGACAAGAAGGACCGAGTCGTTTGGAAGTAACATCTATTCTCACAAGAGATGTTACCAGAACTAAATTCCCTCATTCGATATCTGTCAAACTTCCGAATGCTGAATATCAAATCGTGGAATTTGATGGATCCACTGAAATAGGTCAATGCCTTTCCTCACTCTGTCTGAAACTTGGAATGCGTCCAGCTCTTCTCTCTGGATATGCTCTTTACATGAACGATCCACTCACTCACAGTCTTATTCTTCTCAAAGGAAAACAGAAACTGTGTGATTCCCTATCAACGTGGGAATCTCGTTCAAGAGATGCTCAACGAGGAAGAATATCATCAGATTGTGCAGCTGCACTTTCTCTTCGAATGCGTCATTATTGGAGTCACTTGAAAAGTACTGAAACACCAATCGAACGACAGTTCTTAGTGTGGAGAGCATCCGAAGAGATAGTTAATGGAAGAATACCGCTGAGCAATCAACTGTGTGAGAGTTTGGCAGCCCTCTATGCTCAAATGGTATTTGGAGATGCGAATCAATCATTGTCTGATCAGCAGTTTGATTTTATTAGCCAGCGTTTTTATCCATCGAAAATGTTAGATGTCGCATGCATCAAAAGTTTAAGGTAAGTCTGAAAAATAAGAAACTTCCGATATCATTATCTATTCCAGACTTCAAATCAATACAAACTGGAATGAATTAGTGGGAATGAGTGAACAAGAATGCGTTCGTGTAATTCTCCAAGTTCTGAACAAATGGCCTCTTTTCGGATGTGATCTTCATGAAGCATCAATGAGAACTGACAATGAGAGAAAAATATATTTGGCTCTCAATGATCATTCTGTCAGTTTACTTGATCGGAGACATTTCGTAAGTTAAATTTCTATTTAACCAAAAAAACTCCTTATTTTCAGGACGTCATCCGCACCATCTCCTACAGTAGTCTTTCTACATTTGGTCAATTTCAACAAGATTTTATGTTAACCGTAATCCGTCCTCTGACACCCGGATCTCATCCTGATGAAGCGCCGAAAGAACGGCTGACATTCTCAATGCAAAAGAATGAAATAGAACAACTAACACTTCATCTTGCAGAATATATTCGTTGTCAAAAACTTGTCTGGAAAGTTTCTAAATAAATTTAATTAAATTATGATACACATTTTCACTTCTTTTTGAGTGCTCTTTTCTGTTACGGTGATTTCATTTCAATTGTGGTTCTATTATTTTAAGTGCTCTTTAGACTTATAGCTTTGTGAAGGAGATAATTTTGCTTTATGTCATTTTAAATATTCATTAATTTATTATGTTCGTTTTAATAAAATATTTGTCATTAATGTTGTCTAATCATAGAAAACGAAAATGAGTCATTAAAACTTTATGAGATTTGCACGACATTTATTCTTCCACCTCTAGGATTTGAACTTCCTTGTGAACCAGCTGCAACTTTGGTCGTAATTAACTTTCTGATTTCCCTTGATGTGAAAAATACGAAACAGGGAGTAACGAGTCCAGCAAATA